TAAAAAACATTTCTGAGGACTTGATTACAATGATTAACTTAATGGATAACTTTTTTTTTTTTTTCCCATTATTAATCTGTTCTCTTCTGACTCAATTTTGAAGTGTGTTAGAAAAGGTTTGGAGCTGTTTTGAATAGTGATGCTTGTGGAAATCACACTTACAATGAAGAGTAGCAATTTAACATTATGAAAGTTCTGACTTTGCCTCCTGTCCACTACTGCTTAATCAGTAAATACATTTTCTGGAACGAGAAAACACTCTGTAAGAGGAGAAAATTACATCAGATGTTGTATCCTGTTACTTAATGAAATTATTAGATTATGACTGATTTACCTAAGAAAAGACCATATGGCTCCAATCTCTCGGGGGAGATGAAACAAATCAGGTTATTTTCCTACCAAGTTCTCCTGGTACAAGCAGTGCCCATTTGGGAGACGCTGCTCAGCAAGCACAGATGCAAGGGTGCTCAGCCCCCGGTAAAACCCAGCTCCCCTGCTCAGCACACGGAGTGAGGTGCGGCGAGCCGTGGGGCTACCGCGCATGCATAGCAACACTGCTGAAACCCAGCGCTCGAGCCTTCCACCTTCTGCAGCGCCTGTTCAAATGCTTTCTGCCCCTCATGCTAAAAAAAACCTTCCAGGAGGTAAACTGACCCTCCTGATACAGCAAAAAGCCACATCACTTCAGTTACTGGAGAGAGAGAGATGAAAAAAACCCCCAAAAAACAAAAAAACAAAAACAACCAATAAACGAAACAAACACTCAAGGGGAAGACAGCTGAACCATTATGCCCAGGTGTCTCTCCTGCAGGTACCTGTGAACATAGATGAAAGTGGCAGCTCTCTACACACAGTCAATATAGCTCACTTCCATGGAGGACACAACAGCACAAGGCTTACAGTCTGGGTGTGCTGCTATGTCAGTCAAGGTGTGCGCTGGTCATTTGGGGTGAGTGGCTGCAGGGACAATGAAGGAAAAGCATGCCTGAAGATCTTAGCAAAGCACTACCACTTCCACCTGCGCAGGATGTCAATCCTGGCAAAGCAGGTGGTATGGAAGATGTTACAGTTGCAAGTGTTCAGACAGCCCTTGGCCCCTTTAGCCTGCTCACACCTCAGTCAAGCAGGAGTCTGCAGCCCTGCAACACTGACCTGCAGTGAAGGGAACCAACAACCACCATTATATTAATACACAGACTAGTTCATCTGCTCACGGCTCACTTTGACTTCTGTTGAAGTCAGTAAAACCATCTGTTTCAAGTCTTCCAGCAGGTTCAGACCTACCAGCTGATTTTCCCTTCTGCCATCAGATCTCGGTGAATCCTGAAGCCCTCTCAGGGTGCTGCACAGAATCTCTGTGACAGCTGAAGGGGGAAAAGACAAGCCGAAGGTGGAACCTGGTGGAAGAGTTGCTAACCACAGTAACAGGTGGTCAGCATGGCAAGGACAGGAGGAAGTCAAAGTCTTCACTGGGCAGCAGAGGGAGGATGAGGAAAAGTTACATGTGCATGACACGGAGGCAAGGGCTGACCTCAAAGTTATTGTGAACATAAGAGAGGTACTAGGGGTGAGGATGAAGGATAGGATAGGTGTGGCTGGGAGAACAGAGAAACAGGATCCTACTGCAGGCTTTCTAATAAACAGGGAGTCACAGAATCATTAGTGTTGCAAGGGACCTTTGAAGATTTTCTACTCCAACCACGCTGTCAAGGCACGGTGATCTAGAGCAGTGCTCTGCCACCCTCAACACAAAGCTCTTTGTCACATTTAAGTGGAATTCTTGTGGTTTAGTTTATGCCCACTGCTCCTTATTCTGTCTCTGGGCACCACTGAAAAGAGTCTGGCACCACAAACTTGCCATCCACTTAGAGATATTCATATGCATTAAGGAGATCCCCTCTCGGGCATCTCTGGACTGCACAGGCCCAGCTCCAGCAGTCTGCCCTCAGAAGAGAAGTGCTCCAGGCCCCAGATCACCTTTGTGCTCCTCCACTTGACTGACTCCAGCAGCTCCCTGCCTCTCTTGTCCTGAGGAACCCCGAACTGGACACAGCACTCCAGAAGATGAGATGGAGGCAAAGCTGCAGTGATTTGAGTGCAACTGGCAGGAGGCCAAAGCCAAATTTCACACACACGGCGGAGAACGAAAGGATACGGAAAGCCTTCCAGTTCCACCCTTCGTCCCGCGTAGGCCTTTCTTCAGTCCCAGGTTAACTCGCATCCCCGAGCCCGTCACCCCCGCTGTGCCCACAGCCCCGGGGTAGAGCGGCCCCGGCCCCGGCCCCGCCCCGAGCGGCCGCGGCGGCTGCGCAGCGGAGCGGCCCCGAC